GTTTGGCGATTCTATCGAGACCGGTACATAGGAGAGTCAAATCAACCAAGTGTTCCTACTTTTAGATTGGTGGGATCATTAGCATTCATTTCAATAAAAAAACTAATAGAAAAGAGAAACCGTCCTCTGAGTGTGTGTGTGTGTGAGAGAGAGAGAGAGAGAGAGATCCGCCAACGCTAGCCGTTGTCGGGTCTACCTTCCCTGACCCCGAGATTTGTATGACCACGCCAAATCCGGAGCCACTTACTACGACCACCACCCCATGCTCATCTTCGTCCTTGTTGTTCTCCTTCAAGACCAGCCCAGCCCCGCCTCGTCCCTCTTTTGGTTGATGAGCAGTAGGTGGGCGATCCCACTACCAGTGGATATCGTCGTCCCCTTGTGCCACGGGTGAGGTGTTGTTGCATCATCCAATGGGTGAGGTCCTTCTCCTGCTCCCTGAGCTTCTTCCCCAGATGGACAACCTCCCTCACTTCTCCCCCTCTACGGACGTGGTGGTGATGTGCATTCTTGCCATTCTCCTCTAGAGAATTGACATGGTTCCTCCCTTCTTTCCTTGCTCCGGCCAAGGGGCGAGGTCCCTATATTGGAATTTAGATAATGGATTGGAATCTAAGTTGTGAAATCAACTTGATATTTATTAGTTCAGCTTATGAATCTTCGCTTCGTTAATTGTTGAAAAGATGTATTCAGCTTGTGAATTTTGTGTGAAACATATGTGTTTCCTTAGTTTCTATTACGTTAACATGTGAAATAAAGTCAACTTTCTAATATGTCAAATTTCGTAATATGTCTTAGGAGTTACCGCCGCTTGCAAAATATGCTTTGTGATATGTGTGATTTGTAAAATATGGAGTGTGATAAGTGAAAAGAAGTGAAATTCTCAAAATAATTGTTTCTAAAATTAGTGCACTAACTGAAATTATTGAAACAGTAGTCCCTAAAAAAGAATTTTTTTTGAAACTCATGTGGTATTTATTTTTTCAGATTAGCGAAATTATTGACATGGTTACTGACATTAAAGTATGTGTTTCGTAAATATTTGAAATGTCACTGCAATAAAACATCATTTTTGAAAAAAAAACTACACTGCAATTAAACATCATGTTTCGGACAAATTTTCAAAAAAAAAATAAAAAATTGAAATGTGCTGATTTATTATTTTATCTTTTGGAAATAGCCTGTCAAGTAATTATTTTGATTTTTGAAAAGTATTTCAATTATATTCTCTTTTGCAAAAAATATTTAAAATATATATAATATATTAGGAAATTGCATGTACGATTTTGATACGATGCTTTATCAGCCACATAGATTAGAAAGTGATGTGATTCAGTGATTTGCTTGATGTGTTGTACCAAACTCGGACGTGAAGTATCGTACACATATCATCGCTGAAAATATATTATTTGATGTTTCTAGCCAATACCGAAAATCGTAATGTCAATATGAAAAAGAATACAATACACTGTTTCTAATGTGCTTTGGTACATGACGATCCCTTGGTACCGAGCGGGAGCCACTACCTATGGTCTCTGCTAGAAGGACTTGGCATAAACTCTTCAACTAAACCTGGGCATTGCTTGGGCGGGTTGTATAAAGCCCTACCGTAACAACCCAAACCCGGTTCTAAACAATTAAACTGTACATTTTCTATTAAATAAAATTATTTTGGGCAGTATAGATGTAGTTCAATTAAACTCTGTTTTTTAGGTAATTCAGGCTTCTGGGCCGGGCCATCGAGCCTATATCTGGAGCCCAAGCTCAGCCCGACCGTCCGGCCCGGGTTTGTCCGAGAGAGAACATGTGTTATCATGCATTCCCGTAAAAAAAATGTCATCGGGCTGGTCGTAATAAAAGTATCATAAGCGGTATCATGCATGCCAACTAGACTTTTTGAATGATGTGGCACATAATTAAATGAGAAAAAAGAGGGTGTGGTATCATATCATGATACCGTATCATATTAAATATTATACTACTTTGTGTCATGCATGTCAATTAATAAGGCCACCTAATAAGATACTAACTTATGATACTATGCATTATGATAAGTACGGATGCATGCACATATCTCAGAATATTTTGTTATATAAATGCTTGCACAATAATTTTTGCAGATATGAGAATAACATCGAGTATTACGATGGATGGAAATTTTGTTATAAAGGCCCGTACATTAATTTTACACGTATGGTGTGCTATCTGAGAATATATGTTATAAATGCCTATGTATTGTACCTCTGCTGGTGAAAAATAACCTTAATTTTAATGAATATACTGTATAATATAAGGAGGCACTTTAAGCCGTCAAATAAATAAACAAATCTGTGAATAATAACATCAAGTAATTAAAATAAATGATGGATGTGCAATGCATATATGTATTGTGTGTATAAATAAAATGGAAATGCCCGGCCGCACGCACGTTTTCACAAATCACACAAGCGAATCGCGCGCGATGGAGGTGACGTTCGAGACGACGCAGGGTCGCCGATTCACCGTCGAGATCTGGTACTTGTCCACCGTGCGGAGGATCAAGGAGTACATCCTGAGGCAGGAGGGCATCCCCGTGGAGTCCCAGCGCCTCTTCTTCCAGGGCCAGGAGCTCCAGGACGACCGCGACACCCAGCACTACCCCATCGTGGAGGGATCCCACGTGCTCATCGTCCTGCCGGATGACTCCCCCACCACCGCCGGCGCCGTCGTCCGCGTCGTCGCCTCCGGGCCGGCCCTCGGCCAGGGCCGCCGCATCGTGCTCGAACTGGACGCGTCGTGCACCGTCGCCCGCCTCAAGGAGGTGCTCCAGGAGCGCACGGACGGGGCGGTGCCGGCCACGATGGTGAGCGTGTTCTTGGAGAAGGCGGAGATGGAGGACGACAAGGAGCTGGCGCAGTTCGACCCGCCGGTCGACGGGATGGAGATGGAGGTGCGCGTGGTCGCGCGCCAGCCGCCGCCGCCGCCGGCGTGCAACGACGGGAACGGGGCGGCCAAGGTTAATAACAAGCTGCAGCAGCGGATGTCTGTGGAGGTGAAGTGGGGCGCCAGGGCCGTGACGTTGGAGGTGAGCGACATGGACGCCGTCAAGGAGCTGCGGGCGGAGCTGGGCAGCGGGGCGCCGCACCTCCTCCTGCCGGACGACGGCGCCTACTTCTTCATCTACAAGCAGAATGTCATGGAGGAGGAGCGCACGCTGCGCTGGCACGACGTCAAGGCCGGCGACACCATCGAGATCTTCAACGGCAGGGTCACCGGAGGCGCTTGATTCATCGATCACACACATGCATGTTCCGTCGATCAGGTTTACAGATCTGCATTGACCATTGTTGAGTCGTTATGCTGCATGGTACTCCACTCTATCATTTCTTTCGTGCAAATTGGTGTAATGTTGAGTTACCGATCCTGAAGAAAAAAATGATTACGCCTGAAGATCCTATTTGTTGGGTTAAGATGTTAACAAGAAGACCTATTCCTTTGCTCGGATTAATCCTAACTTTGCGTCTCTGACTTCGGGCGATTATCAACGGAACAATCGGGGAACCCCAACGATCGGTCGCAAGGAAGATACTTCCATTTACAATAAATAATGTGCCCGTGCTTTGATATATATGAGCAGGGGAAAATGGTAAGCTCTCCACCTTTTTTAGGGGGTATGCTCTCCACTTTAGGGGTATGTTCATACGTAATACGATGTGATTTGTGAATGCCACGTGTCATCCATCAGGATGCGTCTCACATATTAACCGTGAGACCTGGTCTCATATAATTTTTTTCCGATCTGGGGTAAGCTGGCGTAGGGATGAAAATGGAGCGGAAACTATCCGCCTTTCTGACAGAAAAACAAAAACTAGAGGAAAAACGGAAATGGAAACGAAACTTTGCAAAAAGGAAACGGAAATAGGATATTTTTTGTGCAAAAACGAAATACAAACTGAACATCGTTTTCCGATGCAACAGGTGTGGAAACCAAGTTTTTTTCTGTTAATACGAAACTTTCCGTATTACGTATGAACATATGGCTATTTTGTAGCCCAATAAACACATAAAGTAATTAGTCCCTACAAATAATGAGCGGAATGGACCATATAGGATATAGCCCAATTTCAACTTTTTTTTTGAGACAATAGCCCAATTTCAACTACATCTAGCACGACAGCCTAATACCTAATCCCTAATCGAGCCCATATGGCCCAACTTCAAACTATGTCGCTGGTATGAGCACTATTGTGATTTGAGCTTGCAATGTTTGATTGTTTGATGCCTTTCAAAAAATTTGCTGTCAAAGTTGAATATTTATGCACAAATGGATATCTTATTATATATCCATGATATATATTAAGATTTTGTAGTCATCTTATCCACTAAACAATTTTGTTGGTTTCATTGTGTTATTTCTACAGTTTGTCTAATTCATATCTAGATGTTTTTTAAGGATGTCACATCTAAGCTCCTACAAGTATATAATGTAGCAATAAGAAATAAAAAAACTAGGATAAAAAAAATAGACCACAAATAGAGTGGACATCAGCTTAGATGTGACATAGTTATGTCACATCTAGATGTGTCCTAGACAGACCCTTATTTCTATGGTTCAAGGGATCTTTTGTTCCGGTAAACACTTGCTTACGTCCCCATGTCTGTGTCGTATTCGGACTTTTCGTTTTCGATAGTAATTGTTTTCAAGTTTTCCGTATTCGTTTTTACTTTTGAAAAATAAATATAAACAAATATGGAAGCACCTAGCTCCATCCATTTTCACTCCATTTTCATCCTTATTCTTGGCACACGTTGCGTCTTCCGAAAAAAGAATTCCTTATTAATATGAGTAGTCTATCGTTTCTATTAAGCCAGACTCGCACACGGCGGCACCTGCAAGCCATCAGAGCCTGATACGCGCTGAACTCGCTCACAAGTCACCAAACCTAGGTACAAAAACACCAAGGTTAGTGTCCACATGTCAGTCCTAATCCAAGGTCGTCGCGGCACAAGGCGCCTGTACTCTACAGCTCCGTCTTAACATCTTGCCCCTTAAAACGGTAACCTTTCCGCGAGAGCAGATCAAGGAAGAAGTTGAGCTTGGAGCTGAAAGAGGATGGCTCCTCCTCTGCTGCCACCCCCGGCTTCTTGCATAGCATATTGTAGTCGTGCTTCAGGTGCGGCTTCACTATCTTTTCCTGCAGGCATAATCGGAGACGCTCATCAGATCACTGCCAGAGGAGATGCAGAATGCATCTTGAACGTCGTATTCGGAAGAACATCAGGCAGTGTTGTATTTACCTTGAACTCCTCGAATGGGCATAAATCCTTGTTGCTGCAGCCCTGCATTTGTTAGTAGCCCACCAAGGGTAAGAACATATAGTCGATTGGGGGACTTCCCAGTATCAAACGTATTGTAGAGAAGAAAACAGAGCACTAATCAGCCAGATGCTTCTAGGCAATGGCAGCCAAAAATATTGTTTAACATAATAAGCCATTTCATTAGTTTTTCAAATAGTTCGTTTGTGGCACATTGGTGTGTATTCTGTGATTTCAGAATATTGCTACATAAGAATATCCAACTGCATTTGTTGGATCAATTCATTAAGTTTTCTAAAGCATTTCAATGCTGTGGTTGGTAGGTTTGAAACTTGAGAGGCCCTAGAGGACCCACAGGACATTACAACACAACATAGCTTGTAACACCATTGAGCAAGGCGACTTAAACCAACAGGTTACAGGATAGAGCACAGAAATTGCAGAAGCATAGTCTTACCGGCATCGAAACTGGGGCTTCATTGTGTAGAACTTGCAAAAAATATGAGCTTTTTTGGTCCTGAGATGTTTTTTTGCCATCATTTTTGCCAGGGCATTGGTATAAAGCCAACATATTGTTGCTAGCAAAAGGTGCTACAAGAGCGCCCTTCCAATTTCTTCTCTGTGGTGGCATCGGAGGTAGATCCAATGGTTCCTCCCGTTGAATCTTCTCAAAATCTTAGTGCAAATAAAAAAAGTTGAGACATGTCAAATGGGCAAATAGTTCCTTGTATATTCTTCACGGAGAAAGATCATGCACAGATGGAGTGCAAAACAGGAACCATACCTGATCCTTCAAGAAAAAGACCAAGTAGACATGTGAAAGGAACAAGAGTTTCTGCATGTGCAAATCGGAGCCTTGCTTTCTCATACGTACCATCAGGGTAGTTTTCTACAATTCCAAGAATTAAATTTCAATCTAGAGTTCTCATCATCATTGTTATTCATAATCTAATCTTCAGTATTGATTACTACACTACACACTGATTCAGAGTATTACATGTTCTTTTCTGTTTACTGTGTAAGTATTGCATGTTCTAGCTAATACACACCTACTCCAGAGTATTACATGATCTTTATGGAGTAGTAAGCTACCACAAGAGACTCATAAAATGATGTGTATCTGGTGCTAAAAGAATTCCAGATCATAGTGGCGTCCACAAAGGGGAAAAAGTAAGAAGGTAGGGTGCAGGTATTTTTCCAGCAAGAAGCATGTTTTTTTCTAAGAACATGGGAGATAGTGTTACCTTCTCTAGCTATGATTGCTTCTTCCATCGACTGGACAACATCCTTGAGCAATGGCAGTCCCATTTTATAGTTTATTGACTCACCATAACCTTTAAGCACAAAACCCTCCAAATCATCTGTCCACTCTAGCAAATGAACCTAAACAAAGAAGTTGGCATTAATAGGACAAATCAGGGCCCATTGTTAATTCTGAGAATTACAGCTGCCTAACGAGTTGATATTAATAGGACAAATCAGGTTCTTTGCATGAAGTATGGCGATCAGGGCCCATTGTTAATTCTGAGAATTACAGCTGCCTAACGAGTTGACATTAATAGGACAAATCAGGGTCTTTGCATGAAGTATGGCGATGATAATACTTTCGTTAAAATTAAAAGGCAGCAACTATTTGACAAAAAAGGCAGCTAGCATGGTGAGTCAATAAACTATATTCAAACTAAGAACAATTAAACTAGACTACTAGAGTTGCATGTCAGAAGCTTGCAATCCTAGCTATGAAAATACTTCTTTATGGTATGATGTGGATTCCTAACAGGATCTGACCAGTGAGGCAACCACAAGTACATAACTGAACTGATAGTGGACCTGCCTTAATAATAGTTTGATCGTCGAACTATGACAAACTTAAGCAACTTCATTAACTGGGATGTATCATTTTCTTAACAGATCAAGGTCACTGAGGTTATGGTTCTTATGAAATAACTAAAAAGGAACCATGTCCATGGAATCAAATTGTATACAGATCATATACTTCCTACAGAAGAGTAATAGGATGTGTGCCGTCTGACTGAATGCTGGCAGGGCATAGACTAGTATGGCATAGAGTTTTAGTAGTGAAATTGCTTAAGAAAAGCTGAAATGTGAAAGCAACCTACCTCATCTTCATTGAAAAGTTGACAAGCTTGATTGGTAATATTCAGCAAAGATGCTTCCTGCAAAAAGAAAAGACAACTGAAAAAATGTCCAAAGTGTGCCACACCATACTCTAGCTCCCAGAGGCAAGTAAATACCTGTTTGCAGAGGAACCAGAGGGAAGAAACATCCTGTGTTGTAAACTTGAGGTGATAACGGCTGACTAAAGCAGATGTGACATGTTCTAGAATTGGTTCCTTTTGCTTGTCAACATCAGGCTCCTTTCTTTTCCTGTAGTCCTGAACATATTATTGTGGTTATACATTTTGGGCAAAAATAGCACATCAATAGCGCCATAACAAGGCCACAGTTGTACAGAGGAAGAAAAGATACAGCGCATAGCATGCCGAACTGCAAGCTACCGCTGATAGATTAATAGAAATGAGAACAAAATTACATATAAAAACTAAGAGGTGTGCCTAGGAAATTGTTTGCAAGAGTGAATGCTAGAACACACCAATGAAGAATGAAGGAACAAAAACTGATGTCCAACATAAAACTACCTAACCAACAGGTGGAAGAACAAGGAATGCAGCAAAGCATGACATACTAAGTGCAAACTCGTATAAGTACATGTGCAGATTGATCATAAATCTTTGTGCTATGCTATGTGATATTGAATACTTAGTTAAAGCAACATGCCAACACGAAAGTACCATTTGCACAAGAACTGACAGTTTTAGTCTTTCTCTTTCAGCTACAAAACGCGAGCAACCAAACCAAAAGGAATAACAATGCCAAGTCGCATAAGCATTTTATATTCTTAAAGTGTGTTCTTTATTTCTCAACGATGTTATTGCTACCACGAATAGTACCTTGTATGTTTTACAGCTATCAAAGAATCGCAGACAAATATCACTTGCACGACTCTCACTCAGAACAGAGAAGGCACGGTTATTTCCTGCTCCAAGCTTTCCTTTCCCAGAAAGTAGCCCCAAACCAAATGCTACTGCACTAGCTGATGCTCGAGGAACCTGCATCTCAAACATACAGCAATAGTTAGCCACACTAAGCGACAGTCAAACTCAATAACATTATAACTCAACTGGAAATCATCAACAGCAACAGCAACAATGTCCAAACTAATATAAGACGTTTTAGATCACTAGTTTACAGAAGTAGTACTTGGTTTGCAACACATTGAGACTCGGTAAACTGAGTTTCTGCCAAATGCTATATATTTATTCCTGTTTCATCTGATAATGACTAACACATGAGACTCGGTAAACCAAGAATCCTAAAATTTGTTGATATGAACGTGTTAAGTATGGCAAGAACCTGTCGAGCTTACCTGGGTTGCTCTTATTGAGTACACGTCTGGATGATATTCCTCATCAAACAGGTCCTGAAACCTCTCCTTCACTCGGTTAGCAAAATTGAACAGCTCTTCCTCACCTTCGCTAACCAGTTCGCCCCCTTTGACCCTACCCTTCCAACGTGACTCCCACCCCTTCATCCATGATGGAATTTTCTTCAGAGAAGCAGTGTCAGATCCTTGTTTTGCCTCATCTACTAAAGTCCCCAACCGCACAGCCAGCCTATCCAACTCCTTGATTCTCTTCTTGGTAGGAGCACGGGTCCCATGTCTTGCCTGGTAAATAAAAGTATCGAATGAATTCAGCCAATTTTATCCTACACAAGTAGTACACAGTGGGGAAATAACAAGCAGACTCCGCAGAATATTGTTCCATTTCAGGTCAGTCATCAACATCTATTAATTCCTGAACTATGGCAATGCTTAAATAACTCAGGAAAACAGACTAACACCATATGGCATATCACCGACACGACTGCTAAGTACTTGGTTTCAATCCCTTCCAAGCAGTACTGGAGACCGAGTTCACACTGGAACTGGGTGGCGAAATGTTGGCACAGAAATGTGTGGAATGCAGGGGAAATGAAACTCACGACGAGATTGAGGTGGATCACGCGGCACTCATCCGAGATAGAGGGCGCGGAGACCACGCTGTTGGACGCCCTGGACACATCGTACCTGCGAAAATCACCACCAAAGGGGGTTAAAGTTAAACCCTACCATCTCCGCAAGCCCCCGTCTCCGTCCCCAACACCACGGCCTGGGCAACCACCTCGCTCGCATCCGAGGCTAGCTCGAACCCCGCTCCACCGCGAATCCACCGGCGAACTAGCCGGGGATCAGGCGGCGCTTGGAGAGACGACAGAGAGGGAGGGGGCTGAGGGGGAGGGGTACCTGGTGACAGTGGAGAGGTGGCGGCGGACGTCGAAGGCCTCGGGCTCGGCGGCCGCCGGCGGCAAGAGGGGGGCGGCCGCGAGGAGCGTGGCGAGGAGGAGGAAGGGGAGAGGCGTGGCCGGAGGAGCCATGGCGAGTCGCGATTTGCTTCTCTGTCTTTCCGATTCGGTGGGAGGAGGGCTGGTCCGAGTTTTTTTGGACGGCGACCGCGCCGAGCCGAGCCGGCCGGCTATGCACGTGGCGGGGTAGGGGGGCGCACGGGACACGTCCCCAAGGCCATCTGAACGGTCGGCGTCGCGCTGGACGGCCGGGATTGCGTGTGGTGGCTTTTAAAATCCGGATGCGTCTCGGCGCGGCGCCACGTTCTGCGTGCTTCCGAATCACGTGTGATCATGGGCTCCTGGTTTTCTTTCCATTTCCTTTCTTTGTTGGTTTGTAGGCTGCCTTTAACAAGGGTGAAAACTTTGCCACACTTTACTAAATAAAAAAGGGATCTTACATCTAAAAAAAGGATCTTAAATATGTGCATGCATTCCCCAAAAGGAAAGGAAATATATTAAACAAAAAGTCTACTCTCCATTGCCTTCTTTTCTATTCTTGGCTATAAATATTGGTGGCATTGAAGAATGATTCCTAAATTTGTATCATTTTATTTGTTCCATATCTCCCAAGAGTATATGAACAGAAGTCTCCCGCTTCCTCCAAAAGCTGACAAAGGTTGCACTTTGTCCAATCTTATTTCTCTAGAAGCAATCGGCGGTCTAGTCACATCGTCCAAAGGGAGAAGAACTATTGTAACTGAATCACGTGTTATTGTGATCCTCTAGTTTTCTTGTTGTTATCATGGGGCATAAATCAACTCTATAAAGTTGCTTTAAAGGCAACAATCAAGGCTAGATTCTTGTCTTCGTACTTTTTGGTGTTCATTCGAACAAATTCATGTGCTAATAAATGCACGTGCCTTACGGAACCTTGTAGTGTCAGTCATTGTACGACGACAATCCTTCAATCACAAAATGAAACACATCTACAAGACCTCATGTGAAACTACGATATCTCTAACTCAATAAAAAAATACTTCAATCATGTCAATTGATACAAGATCTTTTTAGGAATCCAAGGGGAAAAGGTTTAATTTCAGAGAATTAGCGGGGGGCCAACTAAATAAAAAGAGTTTTTTTGTTTGGAGTACACAAAATGCGTACCTTTCCTTTATAAAAGATAGCAAAGGCAATTACAGGAGAGTTCATCCTAGCACAAAGTAGGAAGGGAGTCCAAAACCCAACTCAAAAACTCCATCTAAAAAACTAGCCAACTACACACATAACAAATCAATCCAACCCTCTCCTATTCCTGCCATGGCTAAAGTTCACTACCTAATGGATGAGGACAGCGGGTCTTGGAATGAACAGAAGGTACGTGCCTTCTTTCTGAACGATGTCTCCTTTGAGATTCTTCGGATCCCTATTAATAGGAATTTCGAGGATTTTGTTTGATGGCCTTTCACAAGGTTTGGGAAATATACTATGCGATCAGCCTACAATATGGCTCGGTCTGCACACTTTCTAGAGTCTCATATTAAGAATGGTCAAGGTTTGATCTCCAATATTTCTTCCCAAAAAAAGGGATGGAAGATGTTGTGGTCTATCAAAGCACATGGCAAGATAAAGGTGGTCTTATGGTTTTTTTCAAAGGATTGCTTACCAGCCGGGGATCAACTTAAACGTCGTCAGGTACCCAATTTTGAACTATGTTGTTTTTGTGCTCGATATGAATCTCTTGAGCACCTTTTGCTGCTTTTTCCACATGTTAGGGACGTCTGGATGTCATCAAAGAGGAATATAGCTTCAACCTGCATTGTGGTGTATTTATGTCCCAAAGGCATCGAATTTTTGACTTCTTGGCAAGATCCTCTGATCAGGTGTGTATTGTCCAGGTGGTGACCCTATGGCATGTTTGGGAGGCTCGAAATTTTACCATAAACAACCCTGAGGCTCCCCATCCACGTCAAACTGACGAGAAGATCAAGGCTTATGTCGCCCTTATCTTGCAGCTGAAGGAAATATGCCCTAGAGGAAATAATAAAGTTGTTATTTATATTTCCTTATATCATGATCAATGTTTATTATTCATGCTAGAATTGTATTAACCGGAAACTTAGTACATGTGTGAATATATAGACAAACAGAGTGTTCCTAGTATGCCTCTACTAGACTAGCTCGTTAATCAAAGATGGTTAAGTTTCCTAATCATAGACATGTGTTGTCATTTGATGAACGGGATCACATCATTAAAGAATTATGTGATGGGCAAGACCCATCTGTTAGCTTAGCATAATGATTGTTTAGTTTTACCGCTATTGCTTTCTTCATGACTTATACATGTTCCTCTTATTATGAGATTATGCAACTCCCGAATACCGGAGGAACACCTTGTGTGCAATCAAATGTCACAACGTAACTGGGTGATTATAAAGATGCTCTACAGGTGTCTCTGATGGTGTTGTTGAGTTGGCATAGATCGAGATTAGGATTTGTCACTCCGTGTATCGGAGAGGTATCTCTGGGCCCTCACGGTAATGCACATCACTATGAGCCTTGCAAGCAATGTGACTAATGAGTTAGTTAAGGGATGATGCATTACGGAACGAGTAAAGAGACTTGCCGGTGACGAGATTGAACTAGGTATGATGATACCGATGATCGAATCTCGGGCAAGTAACATACCGATGACAAAGGGAACAACGTATGTTGTTATGTAGTTTGACCAATAAAGATCTTCGAAGAATATGTAGGAGCCAATATAAGCATCCAGGTTCCGCTATTGGTTATTGACAGGAGATGTGTCTCGGTCGTGTCTAGATAGTTCTCGAACCCATAGGGTCCGCACGCTTAACGTTCGATGACGATTTATATTATGAGTTATGTGATTTGATGACCGAAGTTTGTTCGAAGTCCCGGATGAGATCACGGACATGACGAGGAGTCTCGAAATGGTCGAGAGGTAAAGATTGATATATTGGAAGGTTATATTCGAACATCGGAATGGTTCCGAAGTGTTTCGGGTATTTTTCGGAGTACCAGGAGGTTACTTGAACTCCCCGGGGAAGTAGTGGGCCTTAATGGGATTTAGTGGAAAGGAGAGAAGGGCCTCAAGGGCTGGCCCCCCTGGCTGGTCCGAATTGGACTAGGAGGGGTGGTGCCCCTCTCTTTCCTTCTCCCCTCTTCCTCCTTCCCTCCTTCTCCTAGTTGGAATAGGAAAGGGGGGGCCGAATCCTACTTGGACCGGGAGTACAAGTAGGACTCCCCCCTCCCTTGGCGTGCTCCCCCTTGGGCGGGCCTCCTCTTTCCCCCTCCTTTATATACGTGGGAGGGGGGCACCCCAAAGGCACACCAAGTCTTCTCTTAGCCGTGTGCGGTACCCCCCCCCCTCCACAGTTATACACCTCGGTCATATTGTCGTAGTACTTAGGCGAAGCCCTGCGCCGGTAACTTCATCATCACCGTCAACACGCCGTCATGATGACAGAACTCTCCCTCGTCCTCAACTGGATCAAGAGCTCGAGGGACGTCATCATCCTGAACGTGTGCTAAACATGGAGGTGCCGTACGTTCAGTGCTAGGATCGGTTGGATCACGAAGACGTTCGACTACATCAACCGCGTTACTAAATGCTTCCGCTTTCGGTCTACGAGGGTACGTGGACACACTTTCCCCTCTCGTTGCTATGCATCTCCTAGATAGATCTTGCATGATCGTAGGAAAATTTTGAAATATTGTGTTCCCCTACAGTGGCATCCGAGCCAGGTCTATGCGTAGATGTTATATGCATGAGTAGAACACAAAGGGTTGAGGGCGATAATATGTTGGGGAACGTAGCAATTTCAAAAATTTCCTACGCACACGCAAGATCATGGTGATGCATAGCAACGAGAGGGGAGAGTGTTTTCCACGTACCCTCGTAGACCGAAAGCGGAAGCGTTAGCACAACGCGGTTGATGTAGTCGTACGTCTTCACGATCCGACCGATCAAGTACCGAACGTACGGCACCTCCGAGTTCAGCACACGTTCAGCTCGATGACGTCCCTCGAACTCCGATCCAGCCGAGTGTTGAGGGAGAGTTTCGTCAGCACGACGGCGTGGTGACGATGTTGATGTTCTACTGACGTAGGGCTTCGCCTAAGCACTGCTACAGTATTATCGAGGTGGACTATGGTGGAGGGGGGCACCGCACACGGCTAAGAGACGATCAACTTGATCAACTTGTGTGTCTAGAGGTGCCCCCTGCCCCTGTATATAAAGGAGCAAGGGGGAGGCGTCCGGCCTTGGAGGAGGGTGCGCCAAGGGGGGAGTCCTACTCCCACCGGGAGTAGGACTCCTCCTTTCCTTGTTGGAGTAGGAGTGAAGGAAAGAGGAGGAGAGGGAGAAGGAAAAGGGGGCTGCACCCCTTGTCCAATTCGGACCAGAGGGGGGGCGCATGCCTCCTTCCTTTTGGCCTATCTCCTCTATTCCCGTATGGCCCAATAAGGCCCATATACTCCCCGGCGAATTCCCGTAACTCTCCGGTACAACGAAAAATACCCGAATCACTCGGAACCTTTCCGAAGTCCGAATATAGTCGTCCAATATATCGATCTTTACGTCTCGACCATTTCGAGACTCCTCATCATGTCCCCGATCTCATCCGGGACTCGGAACTCCTTCGGTACATCAAAACATATAAACTCATAATATAATTGTCATTGTAGCGTTAAGCGTGCGGACCCTACGGGTTCGAGAACTATGTAGACATGACCGAGACACGTCTCCGGTCAATAACCAATAGCGGAACCTGGATGCTCATATTGGCTCCTACATATTCTACGAAGATCTTTATCGGTCAAACCGCATACCAACGTACATTGTTCCCTTTGTCATCGGTATGTTACTTGCCCGAGATTCGATCGTCGGTATCTCAATACCTAGTTCAATTTCGTTACCGGCAATTCTCTTTACTCGTTCCGTAACACATCATCTCGCAACTAACTCATTAGTTGCAATGCTTGCAAGGCTTATAGTGATGTGCATTACCGAGTGGGCCCAGAGATACCTCTCCGACAATCGGAGTAACAAATCCTAATCTCGAAATACG